TTACTTAGATGCTAGGCGCTAAGAACTTTGGCAAGTTCACCTCAGATCAACCACCTGTTGTACACTCTCCGCCCACGCTCGATATATTGTCTGCGACGTAATATTGATCTGCTATGCTCTCTCTACAAAGACTTCTCTAGCGCTCTCCGCGCTCACATTATCTCTCATCTCCCTGCCGGCCTTTTGAACTTCTCCGCAGCGTAGAGCAAAAGGCTCGTATTTCCTGTGTATTTCACGATTTTTTTCTTTTTTCTCCACTGGCGGTCCACTTCCTACCCCTACTTTCACATTTGAGTGGAATTACCTCATAATTCAATCCTGAATCTTGCCTTTTGGGGTTTGTGTGAGTTTGAACTCAGTTGAAAAGTTCACGATTTGGAAATTGAAAAGTTCACGATTTGGAAAACCTTTGTTAGATCCGATCCATTCCATGGACCACAATGTTTATAGTTATATCAATATCCGATCCATAGAATAGAAACAAAAAACTTCGAAAGAAGTCGCGCATCTGCGAAAAAAGGAGTTGGAATGGGTGCGGGAGACATATCCTCGGGTGTGGGTACTTAGGACAGAAAGCGACATTTTTCGCTCTTCGCAATGCGACATCGCGCGGCAGGCTGGCGCTCCCGCAGCGAAAACAACTACGGTATGAAGAACGCGCGATTGGAGCAGCTTTTTTCGCATGCGTGAATTTGTAAGTTTCTGATTTATTGCCCGCGCTCACACTCATTGTATTGAGACATGCGGTGAATCACCAATTCTCTCTCATCAATGGAAATGTTTTGTGAATTACACGATTCCGAGCGATGCCGTTAAAGTGGTATTCTAGAATTCTAGAACACTTCAAATTATTGGTGAACGAGGTAATTACACACTCATCGGCCTAGGTAATACTCTATATATCATAGCAAACTCTGACGTCTGAGTCTCATCGAACGTCCATCAACCACTCCTCTTCCAGGGTCTACCATCCATCCTCTGCAAAATTAACCTACCTCTTTCTTCACTGCTAGTTAGTGGTCCTCTTCTGGTGGCCATTTCCTCGTTCATATCAAATCCATGGCTATAAGCTTCAAACTCCTTGTCGCAATCAAAGCCGAGCAAATATCGCGCTCCAATCGCGCGTTCTTCGTACCGTAGTTGTTTTCGCTGCGGGAGCGCTGGCCTGCCGCGCGATGTCGCGTTGCGAAGAGCGAAAAAGTCGCTTTCTGTCCTAAGTACCCACACCCGGGTGTGGTTCATTGGTTCGCAGCGCGAAAGATTTTCCGCTGCGGGAACCTCAGGTCCACCTCTGATCATCAGTGGACCCGAGGTTCCCGCAGCGAAAAATGTTTCGCGCTGCGAAACGCGAAAAAGTCGCTTTCTGTCCTAGTGATCCACCCCACCCCATATCCTCCGCATGGTCCAATGTGGCCAGCAAAGCGCGGGATATATCCCCTGTGCTGTCGTCAACGTGTTAAAATCAGTCAAGTTGAAGGAAAGCATAGGGCTCTTCTGGCTACGGTCGCTTTGTGGAGCTGCAGTTAGAAACTCTTAGAATGGCTAGCGCACCAGTTCTTTTGTGTGTTTCGCAATGCAGTTTGTCGAATTCCTTGTCGCAACTTAGAACAGAGCAAATAACGCGCTCCATTCACGCGCCCCTCGTACCGTAGCTGTTTTCGCTGTGGGAGCGCTGGCCTGCCGCGCGATGTCGCATTGCGAAGCGCGAAAATGTCGCTTTCTGTCTTAAGTAACCACACCCGGGGT